TTCTAGGAGGGATTGAGAAGGAAATTCATGAGGGTGCAGGCATGTATTCCAAGAGGGATTGAGAAGGAAATTGATGAGGGTTTGCATGGGCTGGCATGCCTTCTAGGAGGGATTGAGAAGGACATTCATGAGCAGGCATGCATTCTAGGAGAGATTGAGAAGGACATGCGTGAGGGTTTGCATGGGCTGGCATGTATTCCAAGAGGGATTGAGAAGGACATTCATGAGGGTTTGCATGGGCTGGCATGCCTTCTAGGAGGGATTGAGAAGCACATTCATGAGGGTTTGCGTGGGCAGGCATGCATTCTAGGAGGGATTGAGAAGGAAATTCATGAGGGTGCAGGCATGTATTCCAAGAGGGATTGAGAAGGAAAATCATGAGGGTTTGCATGGGCAGGCATGTATTCCAAGAGGGATTGAGAAGGACATTCATGATGGTTTGCATGGGCAGGAATGCATTCTAGGAGGGATTGAGAAGGCCATTCATGAGGGTTTGCATGGGCAGGCATGTATTCCAAGAGGGATTGAGAAGGACATGCATGAGGGTTTGCATGGGCTGGCATGTATTCCAAGAGGGATTGAGAAGGAAATTCATGAGGGTTTGCATGGGCTGGCATGTATTCCAAGAGGGATTGAGAAGGAAATTCATGGGGGTTTGCATGGGCAGGCATGTATTCCAAGAGGGATTGAGAAGGAAATTCATGAGGGTTTGCATGGGCTGGCATGCCTTCTAGGAGGGATTGAGAAGGACATTCATGAGCGTTTGCATGGGCAGGCATGCATTCTAGGAGGGATTGAGAAGGACATGCATGAGGGTTTGCATGGGCAGGCATGTCTTCCAAGAGGGATTGAGAAGGACACGCATGAGGGTTTGCATGGGCTGGCATGTATTCCAAGAGGGATTGAGAAGGAAAATCATGAGGGTTTGCATGGGGTGGCATGCAGCCAAGTGGAATGGAAAGCTTGACCATGAATAAAGACCAGGGGATCAGATCTATTTTTTGATGGGGGAATCTGGTTAGCATTATTCATGGTCTGGTTATTATTTAGAGTCTCAGGGTTCATGGCCCTGAATAAAGATTGGATGCCAGAAGCATACAAATCCCATGTCAGGTTTCCCTGGCATGATCCCTGGAAAAATTCACTGTGAAGCCATGCAAATCTCATGGGGGATGAGGGTTGGGAGCACTGACCCAGAATAAGGATCCCATGGGGGACGAGGGTTGGGAGCACTGAAAAGCGTGCAAATCCCATGGTAAATCAGGATTCTCTTGCATGATCCCTGGACAAATTCACTATGAAAGCATGCAAATCCCATGGGGGATGAGGGTTGGGAGCACTGACCCTGAATAAAGATTGGATGCCAGAGGCATGCAAATCCCATGGTAAATCATGGTTCCCTGGCATGATCCCTGGATAAATTCACTATGAAACCATGCAAATTCCATGGGGTTGGGAGCACTGACCCTGAATAAAGATTAGATGCCAGAAGCATGCAAATCCCATGGTAAATCAGGCTTGCCTGGCATGATCCATGGATAAATTCACTATGAAACCATGCAAATTCCATGGGGGATGAGGGTTGGGAGCACTGACCCTGAATAAAAATCTGCATTTTGCATGGATCCCAATGGGAATTCTAGGTTCTTTTGTGAGCTGGGGAACTCAGGATTCATTCATTCATGTGGGGGGAAGGTTATTTTTTGGAATTAGTTTATATTATTTTGTATTTTTTCATATTTTTCCCCTGGGGAAAAACGGTTAGCATTATTCATTGTATATTTATTATTTTTTTGGAAATCGGTTAGCATTATTCATGGTCTATTTACTAATCGTAGGTCAACATTATGTGCTCATGAGCAACTGAGAGTGCCATTGACACTTGGTGCGGGTTTGGGGTGACATGAAAGCCTGCAGGAGCAATACTGCACATTCAATTGGATATGTCCCAATCAGGCTCGGGATCCCGTTTTTTGAGTAGTGCTTACAGGACAACTCTAGGGATATTAGGTTTGGGGCTCTCTATGTGTTTTCCAACACCCATGTTTGGGCAAATGCTAATGACCTCACCTACCGGGTTTTTTGGCCGCTACGAAGATTCCTTTTCTTAGGATTGCCGATTGATTTTAAGTTGGCGAGTCGCTACGATTCATCCAAAAGAGGGAAGCTACAGAATCCAACAGTTTACGCAAAACCAATATGAATCATGTATCACCTACAACTAGAGTCACAGTTGCCCACCCAGGCTTGTAGGTGCCGTGCCCAAACATCCTTTCCTGGTCCTTGGCAGGGATTGTCATGAAGTGCTTGATTTGAATAACAGCAACGTGATAAGGGACTTGATTAGGGAGCCATGAGATTAGCCTGCAAGAAGTTGTGTTGACTGTAGAAATTGGACTGCTCATATCGAATCACCCAGATGCACAGTTGTTCAGTGGAGCCGTGTTCTTGGTGGGTTCCCCACTGAAATGCTCAACCCAAGAGCAAACTCCTGTTATTTCTACCTTTCGGGTCGCTGGCTGCAACTGGCACGTCTGGTTGAGGAGACCCTTTTCCTCACTGGTCCTCGGCAGGGAATGAGAATTGGAATGCCCCTTACAACCCATCCGACTGGTTTCCTTGAATTCAGAAGACCCAAGCCTGGGTTGGTTCTCACATTCCCTACTTGGGTGTTCGGGCGGGTTAGGCAGTTGTTGGTAACCTAAAACTTAAAACCCACTGAGAAGTGGGGTTAGCCCTGGTATTAGTTGGTTAAAAAGCCCAAGTGGCTCATCACTTGCTACCTTGGCCGAACACCCAAGTACTTCTCAGAGGTGCATTTTGCTTTGATGTTGGGACTTTAACTGTTTGCCAACCAATGGGTTTTCCGTATTAAACCGCTAAAAGTTAAAAACTGTTCGCCGGGCTTCGCAGATTTCGCACCCGAGTTCTCGCCCCAAGCTTCGGGGTCCCGTCCCGTTGCCATGGAGGCCGTGCTTCAGCGCGGCCAGCTGCGCCTGGCGCTTCGACGCCTGGCAGCCCTGCAACGTGTCCTGCGGCATCGGCTGGCAGGACGGATCCCCGTCGCATGCGATCCAAGGGGTCCCCTTGGGGTCGGATCGCCGTTTTTTGGGGGTTCGAGTTGGCTCCCAAAGGAAACCCGGGAAGGCCTGGAAAATTGTCCGGTTCATGGAATACATGAACCTGGCATTTGAATGCGATATGGCTTTCAGGGATGAAATGAGCAAGAAAAGTGCCGGTTTGCCACAAGCCAACGGATTGCAAGTGAAGAGCTGGGACAAGCGTGATGAAAGGTGTGCGGAAGACGAAAAGCTTGCAGTGTGCGGATAGCGCATGAGTTTGCAGCAAGGCTCAAGCTGTAAGCGCATTCCATCCACTTTGGACTTTTCTTATGGTCAGGGAGGCTTACTTTCGTGAAGTTGTTTTCGTGCTGTCGGCCGAGGTTGTCTTTCAAGTTGTTTTTTGTGCGAAACTTGTGGATGACACAGAACCTGGAGTACATCAAGAGGCAGTGGCTCAGTTTCAAAAAAAAAAAAGTGTGTGGATGACCAGTCCACAGCCTGGCAGACATTCCGGAAGTCGCAAACGAGGAGCAGATGGGCGCGAGTCAAACCTGGGGACACTTACAAATGGTTTGTTTCTTGCAAGTGTGTTTTGAGGCGATTCCTCAAAGGGTTGGTTTTTCAGCACGGCCACGGTTCAACCAATCCTGCTACCCGGTCTCACGCCACCCGTCTTTGAAGCATCCAGCCGATTATCCGATAAGCCTTGCCTGCAGCTTTCAAAGCCTGACATGTTGGCTGAAGTTTTTGTTGTGGAGGGTCGACCGAGGGTGTTTCTGTTGGATTCCTCACATTGAAGGAAGGAGGCGCAAGGAGGCTCACTGACCGCATAAACGAAGCTTAACTTATGGCTGCTCTACATCAGGATGCGAACGAGCGCGACTCAGACTTGTTGGTGGACCGTTTGTCTCAGACCTCTTCAAGCGGGGGAACACGCCGTTTGCCACCAGGAGCGCACCATCTGGTGCCCCACTGGCACAGACGCAGACTGCCCTCACACGAGGCCCAACAGGCTGCAGCGGTGTCACAGCCAGGTGCTGGCCCCAGCACTGCAGGTCTACGATAAGGGCCGCAAGGATCAGAACCTGGGTCCTGCATCTTCGGGTGATTTCTTTGCTTTTTCCGTTCTCCGGTTATTTCCAGGAGACCCTCTGAAAACTCGAAGTTTCAAGCGTGTCAAATGCATGAATAAAAAAGCAGGAGTGGCTTGCAAAAGGCAGGAATGAAAATCAGAAACTAGGAGTGGTTCTTGGAGGAAACAAGAGGAAACATGTTTTGCTGTCTGTGTTCGTTGTTTGGGCCCGCAAATGTACGACTCTGTACAATTGTGCAACTCTGCGCACTCGAGTGGGTAATCAAAATGCACTCCCCGGAATCTCTGTCTTGTTTCGATTTGCGGGATTCGCGGACTTTATGTGGGTGTTTGCGCTGGGTGCTTTCCGGGGTGCCAATTTGTTGCCCAAAGGCGCAAATTCTGAATAATTCCGAATTCTGAATAGTTCCGAATTCTGAATAGTTCTGAATTCTGAATAATTGATTCTGATTCCCGTGAACGATTCTGACTCAGAATATTTCTGAATTGGAAGAATCCTTCCGTCAAGGACCGAACAAATCCAACTTGTAGGGGGTTTCAGGTGTGCAAACCATGTCCAGAAGTGACAAACAATTTCTAGCAGTTGTACAACCAGGAGTCTCCGCATTTTACGTTACAATTCCATGATTGGAAATCCAGGAAGAGAAGAATGTATGCAATCTATGTTTGCCACAGTTTTGCTCTCATTTTTCTTCAGGATTTTGCAGGGCGATGGGGTGCGGGTGTGGCACAAAAGGAGCACACGCAGTCCTCGTGAGCAGGATTTCCTGTTGCTACTATCAGGGCTTCACTAGTTTCGGGGTCTCGGCCCAGGGCTCCAAAGTTCGGAGGGGCTTGGGGATTGCTGTCGCGGAAACCGCTTGGGCTCATTGCTTGTTTCTCGCAACTTGAAGGCTTACATTAGTACTTGTAGCCGACTTGTTGGAGTCCCGCTTTTCAGTAAGCCAATTCAGCTACCCGCTTGAAGTTATATACACCTAGTTACCATGCGATCCTGGATAGCTGTTCACTTCCTACTTGGTAAATGCCTCGGTTCACCAAACAGAAGTAAGAGCGCAGAATTGCTGGAATCATGCATGACCCCTAAAGGCGTAGACTTGGTCTTGAGCTGCCAGACCGAGCCCAAACAAGGCGGCAACAGGACCTTGTAGTATCCTGTTGTGCTATTCCACGTACTCTGCCACAGCCTGTTCAGTCAGAGGAAGTGTACTCCTTTGAGGGTTGTTGAAAAAGGCACACCTCCTTTTCTACTCTTCTTGAGATCCTTTTCTTTTTGTCAAGTGATATTGCCCCGGGCAACCAACCAACCAACCAGTCAACCAACCAACCAACCAACCAACCAACCAGCCAGCCAACCAGCCAGCCAACCAGCCAACCAGCCAGCCAGCCAAACAACCAAACAACCAAACAACCGGCCAAATAAGCAACCCACCAGTCAAATAAGCAACCAACCAGTCAATGTGCTTGGGTTGCAAGGGATATGCGCCATTGGCACTTTTCGAAAGCTGAGCCAGGCAGGGTGCCAGTGGCTTCCCAGCGCCTGGGGCGCGTGCTCTGGTGTGTGCGAGCCGGGCACCAGGTCCAGGCCTGCAACCAAAAGCTTTGGCGGCCGAGGTGTTGTGTTGGGTGCCCAAAAGAGGGCCCCTGACTACCCAAAGGACTGCGTTTTGTTTTTTGGTTGGCGACTTGTTGAATTGGTTGGTGGCTGGGGTTGGTTGGTAGGTGGGGTGCCTTTGTTGTTGGATTGGCGGGTGGCTGGGTTGGCTGTTTCCGGTTTGTAGCTTGAATCCGCTGAAATCTCCAATGACATCCTTTGAATGACATATGGAACCTTGCCATGCGCAACCGGGTGCTGAATTTGCGTTGTTGTTTGGTTTCCCCTGCAATGGAAGAAGCTACAACGCGCTTCTTACTTTGCTTGGATGTTGTCGCTCAGCGGCGTCGGGTTGCCACCGAAAGAAGGGTGATCTCTTTCTCTCCCTCTCTCCCTCTATTCTCATAATATATTAATATATATATATTAGCATCTAGTTTATTATGCATACACGTGCATGTTTGACTGTGCGGTCACAAGGCTAAATTGAGAAAACCTTTGCCAGATGACCAGCGGTTTGGCCAGCGGAGACAGGCCAAGTAGTGACGGTTGGCCGGCCCGAGCTGATGGCTTCCCATTTCTTTCAATTTGTCCCTTGTCTGGCCAACAGTGGCTCTTTGAGCGGCTCGACCCAAAACACGTCGGGGGGTTACATGACTTTAGTTTTTCGGACATGCCACCTACCTTTGTCCCGTGCTCTCATCAAGTGCAAGGGGAAGATAACACACATCATGTACTGTAAGGACATATTATGACATACCTTTGCGACTCAAGTTTGACTCTGCCGCTGGCGCTATGATGATCTTGCTCTTGTGTGTGTGTGTGTGTCGCTTTGTTTGCGTGTTTGGCGTCTTCCTTTGATGGTCTCCGTCCTCCTTCTCATGATGATTGCATCCAATTGGGGTAATTGTTCCTTGGCAACATACACGCGTTTGTTGTTATCGTGAGTATTGATAGCCAAAGGAAGTTTCGAAGGGACTTCAGTGTTCCGAATTATGCTCGGACAACCCTCCGCACAACCCTCCGGACAATCCTCCGGACAACTTGCCGCACAGTTTTTTCTTGTCCGGCGCTTTGTTCCGCACTTCGTCCGGCACTTTGCCCTGCCCCAAGGCGGGGCTGTTATGCAGGACGCGTTCGTCAATATATAAATCTATTATATGCATAAATTATGTACTAGCAAAGCCTGACATGAATTACGCCAACCTTTGCTCCTGTCTCGTGGACCCGGAAGGAACATCACCTGTAGCAGCCAAGAGGAGTCAGACTGTGCGCAGGCGGGAGAATGCACCAAGGATGAGCAGGGTGTGGCAAGAGACTTTCGTGATGTGCGTTCTTTCGATGAGTCCATCCACTGCGTTTGTTCGGCGTGTCATGACGCTTTTGGTGACTTCCCAGGTGACTTATCCTCTTTGATTTTAGTGGGCAATGGTCGACTCTGGGGCAATGTGGTGCAATCACCGCCGCAGCTGTGGGAAATGCAAGTGGCAAACTTGGCATCCATATTCTGTAGGAAGAGACGGGTTTAGATTGGTCCTTGGGCCGCTGTGCTTTATTGTCCGTCTCATACGTACATCTACATTCCGTCTCCATGGAAGTTCTAACAAGGGGGAGTTGTGCCAGGAACGAGAGCAACCAGGAGTAGTGGTCTTCACAAAAGAATCTACTGGGGACTGGGGCCCCACCTTGAGCAGGGCAATGTGATTTGGTTTAGTTTGTTTAGTTGTCTACTGCACGTCCGAGCATGTGATGTGCTTTGTATGTGTGAAATGGCTGTAATTGCTGATCCTTGTTCGGTCGCTGCGTGGGCGCTCCCACAAACAACCACAAATAAAGCAGTATCTCAGTCAAAGCCAAACTCCACATGGAGCAGGGGTAAAATTGTTCAATCGTTCTAAGGGATGGTTCGACAATCTGGCACGGTGAAGGTATCTTGTTTTGGTGCCATTCCTTGCGGCAGGCCAGTGATTTGTTGTGACTCGCCTGCAAGTCGTTTGTTCTTAGACATGCTTTCCATGTTGAATGCTTGAAAGGTGTTCCTCTCCTTTTTGCCCTTTGAGTGTTCTTACATATGTCACTGAGGCTGCTGAGCCAACGGCACATGGGTATGTGTCAGAAATAGGGGCTGCGCAAATAGTGCTTGTCCTTTTCGTTTCCCTTGAAACCAGCCCCCAAAATGGTACCCCCCAAAAAAAGCAAACACGAAAGAAAAACAGACACGCACACACATAACCAAAGCATAAGATGCTTGGAGCAGTTTGCCGGGAGCCCGGCCATCACAGGTGCCCCGGCCAGCAGACCGGGAGGCCTGCAACACCCACGCCGCAGGCGCGTGGATTTGTATGCGAGCTCACCGATTCGGGGGTGAAACGGGTCACTATGAGTAAGGTCTTTTACTTGGGGATCCAACACGTCAGGTCTTGGAATTATTGTATGTTGTATTTGTTGCAGATTGTGTGATGTGAATTAGTTTAATTATATTGCCTGGACACTAATGTTGTTATGGTTTTTGCCATGCTTCACAATGTCTTCGCTGTGCGTGTTATTGCCATACTGTGTGTGTATGCGTCATGTTTCCGGTTGCATTGGGTGACTTCGATGTGTTTGTGTTTCGTTTGGTTGTGCCTTCCAAGCTGGATGTTTGTTCGCGTAGTTTGTTGTTTTGCAGCTGTTGGTGATCTTCGTGTGTTCCATCGAATCCCTCCGGGCCAACTGCACCACTTCTAGGCACCGTTTGTTCCTTACTTAGGCATGATTGTTCTTCCTGCGTAGCTTAGATGGCACAAAGAGGAATTCGCAGAGGCCAACGAGTTTGGTTGCCCTATGTTCCACTCATTAACTGCAGTGTACCTGAAAGTCCACATTGCATGTCAGGTGCAAAGGGCTGACTCTTAGGCATTTACATATGGAATGTGATTTCCATCGGACTGTTGCGGCTGGCTAGCCCATAGCTAAGTCTCACCTTTAACATGTGCAAGGTGTGATGCATATGTGTGCATTTTGTTTGAGGCCAAGCAAGTGTTATTGTGCTGTCCAGTAGTAGGTCATTGTTGCTTTGGCAGACATTGAAGACGTTCGATGTTTGGGCGTGCTGGAAAGCAAGCAGCGAATGGCAGGTTTCCCATATTAGTTCCTCTGAAGCTGAGATGTGCTTGGTCAATCTCGTTGCTTGCACCGTTTGTCACCAACGGACCGCGAGTGCGTTGGATGTGACTCACGGCTGGGCTTGCTGGAAGTAGATGGCAGAATACGCACATTTGTGTTTCAACACCCCTTTTCTTACCGACATGAGATGAATGGTGCCATCCACTTTCACCCTGAATCCCCGCATGAGCACACTGTCCAACTAAACGGGGCATCTAGCATAGTCCGGATGAATCCACAAGGTATTTTCACAAAGGGGTATTTTGCTGTGGGCCCCTTTCTCCTTTTGGAGTTGGTTCTAAAGGAAGCTCAAAACGGAAAGCCAGCATTTTTGGGGGTTCCCTAAAAAAGGACTCATACCTTGGGCAGGCCCATGAGGTCATTGAACATGCAGAGGACCAATGTTACGGAGGTCCTGACAAGACGGAGGCTTATTTCCTCCAACCTGTCCCCACAATGAGGGTACCCCTTTTGGGCTCTGAACGAAACTCACAAAGGAAAGCCGCAATTCCGGGGGGTCCCTTAAAACAGAACATGGACCCAAACGGTGTTTTCAGGTTCCAACGGCCAGGCTGCGCCTGGGACTTGGGCGTGTGGAGCCCATGCAGTGCCACCAGCTGCGGGGGGCTGGGCAGCCGCGTGCGGAGTGTGGGGTGCCGGTCGCAGCACGGGGATGCCGGGTGCCGGGGAGCCCAGAGTTGGCTGTTGGCTTGTGGGGGTATAGGTTGGCGGTTGCCTGTTCGCTTCCTGGGTTCTGGCTGGTTTGGTTTGAGTTTTCTTCTTAAAAGGGTGATGCCCAGGGCTGAGGGGCGGGCTCGCAAGCGCGGCCTTTGTGGGGACATTTGGGTAGTGCGTTGTTGAATTGGGTGGTCGCATGTCACAGTCCGGAAGTTCTCTCCAAATGTGTTTGAGTTGTTGAATATATATATGTCTCTATATATATACATACATGTGATATATTAAAACAAAAAAACAGAGTTAGTTGAAACACAAAAAATGACATAAAAATGGATGGCAGGGGCCATATTTTCTCCGAGGCTTTGGCGAGAAGCCCAGGGAGGTGGAGCCCTGCCTTTCGGAGACGACCTGCGTATGGCAGATCTCTGAGCGCCCTGTGCGAAAGTTGGGCCGCGGTGGCCGCGCTGGCCGCGGTGGGGTGTTTTGTTGGGTATTTTTCGGAAGCCTATGGAACAACTTTGAATCTTCTGCTGGGTATTTCCATTTGGGTTGAGATTTTCCATAGGGAAGAAGCCTTGTTGGGGTATTGTGTCTTCTGCCTTTGGAAAAAGACATCTGCTAGATGTGTGCCTTTTTTGGGACTCAGCCAGATCTGGGAACACAGAAATAGTGTTTTGATGTCGTTAAGGTGGCAAGATTAGGAAACTGGAACTTTTTCCCGTTGTTGAAAACGTTGCTCCTCAAACGTCCTGCAGTTGGTGCCGCTGACTTGATTGCTTGTTGGTGACTGTACTCGGGAGTGCTTCTCGTGTTCCTTGCCTAGAGCTCAGAATACATCATCTCTTTCTGTTTTTGGGGGCATGTAGTTTTATCGCAGCATGTTTCAACGCCACGGCCAATGCGCCGTTTGGCTCAAGCTTTTCGTTCCGGCAGTTCCACCTGCAATTACGTCGGCGCCGCTACACGGCGACCTGGAGCTCCGCTGCAAAAGGTGCAGCGGCCCTCCGTTGGTCGGTGTCGTTGGTGCTGGTGGTTGGTCAGGACTTGGGGTTGGGAACGGTGCGCATTTGGTTTGCTTTGCTCGCTCGCTGCGCTGCTCTGTTTGCCTGCTTGGTTTGCTGCTTTGTGCTTGCTTTCGGTTGTCTCTGCCCTTGCTGGGCTTCTTCACCTTGTTACAACTGGCACCCTGTTTTGGTTCGTGTTTGGCCAGCCGAGGGCACCGCTTTGCCCTTGGGACTGGGGGACTTAAACAATCTCTTCTTGTTGGTGGGATTGGGCCTGTTTATTCTCTCCCGAAACTCTGTTTCAAACCCTTTCGCAGGTTATCAGCCGTAGGATTCGTCCTCGGTTGGCACCGCGAACCCCATTTAATAACAACCCTGCAGGCGCCGTTTTCCATAGGCTACTGTAGGACTCATGGCGGGAATCACCGAGGATGGACCTCATGTGGTGACCGATGAGTGGGTTCTCGGCCAGGCCGGAATCTTGGACGTTGTGAATGACGACCAAGTGCCCGGACAGCCGATGTTTTCCGGTCCTGACTTTTTGTCGGACCACACTTTTTCCGAAGCAATGCCTTCAGGAAGGTCCAGTGCTACTCGCACTGATGACCTATCGTCTAATGCCTCAAGAGCTAATCGCTCTCAGGGTCATGGGGCTAATCGTCCTGACCATGATGATTCCGTCTCAGGACGTGATGATGACGAGCCCGGTATTGCACCTGGAGCTCAATCCTCATCTTTCCCGGAGCTGATGAATATTGGTCAGTCCGAGTTTCGTGACTCTCGAAGTAGCAGTAGACCTGTGCCAACCAGTAGTATAGTTTTTCAAGCGCTCGGTAATCCCGAACCTGGTACATCCAGTGGAGTTGCATTTGACGTTCATCTGCCGACCGAATCCGGTGGGCTCGATTGGAGAGCCTCATGGCCCAACGATGGAAACATTTTTGGTATGGATTTTGCCGCATGGATGCCAGGGCCACCCGCCCCGTCATCTTTCCCGCAATTCCAAAGCCCAAAACGGGCTGCTGGAAGCGACGAATTCATGCTACCTTTGTCGATTGAGAATCTCAATCCTGACATGGCCAGCCGTAACGTCAGGCCAAGGCCGTCGGTAAACCCGACCATGAGGAACATGTCCCCTCCCCCAGGACTTTCAGGATTTGAGAGCCCTAGGGAGCGTAATATCGTAGATAGATTGGATTTGCATCCCAGTCCAACCCCAAGCAAACGATCAAGGTCAAATTCGACTGGATCGCATAGGGCAAGGGGGATGGGTCGGGAAACTGCCCATAGGGGTAACACCAATGCGCGGGACTCAGGACGCGGTCGATCGGGTGACCCAGCGTCGATCATTGGTAGAGATCCGTTAAACGCGGACACGTTGATTAACGTGCTTGATGGGATCGAAGCATTCCAGGAGGAATTCAATAGGTCGAGTGTCCCGAATGTACAGCCTGTTCGCCCTACGCCCAATGCGGCTTCCTTTCTCGCCATTGACAACACAGACGGAGCTGATGTTCCGATTGAGTCTGAATCCATGATGGCATCAAGTTCCAATCACAACAACACCGTCAGCAGCGCTACCGATGTTGAATCAATGTCTGAGTCTAGAGCGTCCAATGCGACTGATTTGCATGACGTTGTCATTGCTGATATGAAGCCTGAAGTTCCTATGCGGACTGATAGGCCGGTAGTTCCCAAATTGTTTGTGACAAAGGGTCTAGGCATGCCACAGCCATCAGCTGTTCGTGATGCCAGAAGATCTGCACCGTATCAGAGTCAGTCTCCGAATCGGAGCGAATTCCCACGGCCATCAACGGCGGTACAAGATGATTTCAGGACACCTCCGAGATCTAATCCGATCATGGTTGATTTGTCCACTCCTCGAGATCGCGGATCAGGATTTGGTCCTGCGAGTGAGGAGCAACCCAACGAGGTTGCTGATCTTGTAACAGCCCTTGAAAGAGCCCAGTCCTTCCGGCGAGGATTCGATGGCGAGGATTCGTTTTTTTCAGCGCTTATTCGAGTTGACGAGGATTCGTCCAAATATCGCTTGGCGAGGATTCGGGTTGACGTGGATCAGTGTCAACCGACGGGTGTCAGCTGCGCATGTTTGTAGTATATTCGTTGAATTGTCGCATGGCTTGTCCTGCCACTTCCATATCGGGCACATCTTGTGTTAGCACAGTTGATTAGGATGCCTCGGGCTCCTCCAACAGAACATTTTGTTGCATGGTAATTCTTGCCATTTCCATATCGGGCACATCCTGTGTTGGCACAATATAGTAGTATGCTTCGGGCTCCTCTAATAGCATAAGCAAAAAAAGTAGGAAGCCGCAGGCTCCTAAGAACGCGTGCTCGCAAGGCCCATAAGGTATTTGTTTTGGAGTCCCAGGAGATTTGCTGGCCATGAGTCGTCAAGCTGGCTTTCGGTTTAAGGTGTAGCTGTGTCCCCCCACTTAGGGTTTTCCATATAGGGACATGTCAGACCAGCACAACGTCTATGTTCTCCTGTGCGAGCGCGTCGCCCCAGAGGCTTTGGCTCTTGCCATCCAGGGCACCGACCCACTCTTTCCGGTTGGCAAGCCCACTCAGGAAGGCGTGGAGATCCACAAGAGTTTGCTGCAGGGCTTGCTCAGCGTCCAGCGGCGTTGGTATCCAAAGGAGTTGGAGCAGCCCCTTCAAAAGTTCAACCACCTCCACCAGAAGAAGCTTTTCCAAGACAAGGGCCTTCGTGGCCTTAAAGCCCAAGTCCAAAGTCTGCTGGACATGATCAGCTTCGTAAACACGAAGCGCCGTAACGTTAGCACGCAAAAGCGCCAGCTGCCAGGGATCCAGGAGATTTTGGAGACTGCCTCTGGAAGCCCATACCGAGCGCTGCCTTCTACCGAGGAACTCCCAGACAAGGCAGCAAAGCTGCCCCGGAAGTATGAGAAAGAACCCACCGAGGAGAGCTTGCAGGATTTCTGGCAGGATCTGGCAGAAAGGGAGTCGGTGCACTCGGTGGTGGATTTGTTGACTCAGACCAGTGAGCAGCCGGGGTCTTGTGATGACAAGGCGTTGGGCGACAAAGTCATCTACACAGACCACTGCTCGGGCCTGCTGGTGAGATTGCAGGCGAACTCAGTGGAATCGGCTGAAATGTTCCAGAAACCTGGATCTCCGTGGCTCTGGGGCAGGTTTGGAGATGGGGCAGAGTACCCCTCAGAGGTACCGAAGCAGATCGACAGCCCAAAAAAGCGCCCTGCCGCCGCAGCGACAAAGCCGGCAGCGATGAAAAAGCCGGCCGGAATGAAAAAGCCGGCTGTTGCCGAGGACGCATGCTCGGTTTACATCACTCAGGCGACAGACCAGTCGTACTTGCAGTTCAAGGACCCCGCCACTGGCACAAAGCGTCTCCTGTGCGGAATCAGCAAGGCGCGGCGGGCAAACCACCAGGACCTCATAGCCGTCGTGCGTGCTGAGCTCATGAAGCTGGACTTGCCTAGCATGTCCTTCGAGGAGGTCAAGGACAAAAGCCTGACCATTCGAGAGCTCGCGGTGAACCGCGGGCATGCCCATAGTCCTCAGGACAGACTGAAAAAAACATATGTCCGAACCCAAATTGTGTCTGTTACTCGCTACGACTCGATCGCGCTCTCTGCCAACGCTAGGACGTGGACTAGAGTGACCCGCTCGAGAGCGACTCGAGACAGGAGACCCCCGGTTCGTGTCGAGGGGGTGTCAGGCCAGTGCTATGCCGTGTCTGTTGTCCACATAGGCCTTGATTTTCGTTTTCTTGAGTCAAAACATGTCTACTTCAGGAAGCCTTTGGCTCCTACATGTGTCTGCTTGCAAATCTTGATTGTGTTTGAATTCTTTGCAGGGTAGACCTTTGGACACTTTGAAGTCCAGGAAGCCTTGGGCTCCTACATGCATCTGCTTGCACATCTTCATTGTGTTTGATTTCTTTGCAGGGTAGATCTTTGGACACTTTGAAGTCCAGGAAGCCTTGGGCTTGTACATGCATCTGCTTGCACATCTTCATTGTGTTTGAATTCTTTGCAGGGTAGATCTTTGGACACTTTGAAGTTCAGGAAGCCTTGGGCTCCTAGCATGACCACGTCAACAAGTATTATCAACGTGAATCAAGCTTTGGTGTCGTAGTGCGGTCAGCTCGAGCTAGGTGTAAGCTAAGGGCTATTAGTAGCCATGGGTAATGCACCGTCGAGCTCCCGATCGAGCGCGACCAATGAGGGCGTGGAGGTTGCGCTGCGCATACTCGAGGCAGCCCGGCGGGCAGGGCAGCTGAGTCCGCAGCAGCCGCAGCCGGCGCAGCAGCCGCAGACCCCGCAGCCTGTGCCGCTGCCGATGCAGCAGCCTGTGCCGCAGCCAGTGCCGCAGCCTCCGCCTCAGCCGATGCCGCAGCCTCCGCCTCAGCCGATGCCG